ATTCAGTTTTTAAACGATATTTCAATTGATTAGCCATTTAAAAAAGATAAAATTGGAATTATTTTGAAAAAAAAAATGAATGACGGCGGGATCGAACCCTGGCCGTCGGCGTGGTAGGCAAGCACGCTGCTAATTAGACAGCGCACTCATTACGAAAATATAATTTCATTAGTAGTATATCTTCAATACATTAAATAATTTTTTTCATTTGAAATTCCACAGATGTGGCTTCCCCCTTCCGCTCGTTCGACAGTTGGCTAAATTTCAGTTAAACAGATAAAAAACAAACAGCATTCATAGGAGTCACATAGGGCAAAAAAAAAGTGACTCCATCAAGGTTAATTCGCATTTATTAAAGACCTGCGGTAGGTGGGCTTCTCAGAACTCATGACTTTTTCCGGGAGTTTCCATTATTGCGAAATTGTTGAATTTTTTCAGTAGATACCAATTTCGTAAAGCAGAAAATAGTATTCACCCCGTCGACTGATCCCTCTGACAGCAGAACTGCTACTGAGGCAATTACCGAGTTGGCTGACGGGTAGACACCCCCAACATTGCATGATGCGCCCTCTCTCCCTCAAAGTGAGGTACTACGATGCCGGTAGAGTCACTCAATAGTCAATCCTCTCTGATCATGATTTTGAAGACAAAAATTTGCGAACGCGTCCACGGCTGCATGACAGTTGGATTGTCGATTTATCATTTTGTTATTCAGTAATTATTTGCATAAAAATATTCGTAAGTTTTTAGTGAGAGCTCATATAATTGAATCAGCAAAATGGTGAGGACTGTTTTACACATGATCCTGAAGATGTTCATTTATTAATATTGTCTGCAATTGTTGCTTTGTCATCACGGTATTCAACAGACATTTATTCCTTTTGATAAATCAGATAATTGAGGAATAAATTTCATTTCTTAGTTTCAACTTCTCAATGCATGTCTTCTAATTATTCTTAAATTATTCTTTGTCATAGTTAATTACCAATTTTATAATTTAGTAACTACAAAAATTGAGGTTAAGGCACCAAGAGAAAATGAGAATTCTCTCAATGTCTCAATAAATAAACAAAAACATTAACTATATGACAATAATTATATGTACATTATCCAGATTTTTAAATATTTTTCAGTTTTAATTGAATTATTTCACATAATTGATTAATTATCGTTATTAATTTTAGTTTCGCAATCAATACGACAGCGACGTGACGGTATGGAGTCCTCAGGGACGTCTTCACCAGGTGGAATATGCCATGGAGGCGGTGAAACTCGGATCTGCAACAGTCGGTTTGAAGAACAAGACCCACGCGGTCCTCATAGCTCTCAAAAGAGCTTCCTCAGAGCTATCTGCTTACCAGAAGAAGATTATCCCCATTGATAAGCACATGGGGATCAGTATTGCTGGACTCACTGCTGACGCCAGGATGCTCAGCAGATACATGAGGACAGAGTGCTTGAATTACAAGTACTCCCACGATGACGTTCTTCCAGTCAGTCGTCTGATCGCCACCCTGGGGAATAAAATGCAGACTTGCACTCAGAGATACGATAGACGTCCTTATGGTGTTGGTCTACTCGTTGCTGGTTTTGACGACCAAGGACCCCATATTTACCAGACCTGTCCATCAGCGAATTACTTCGACTGCAAAGCAATGGCCATCGGTGCAAGATCTCAAGGAGCCAGGACGTACCTGGAGAAGCATTTGAATGAATTCTCTGCAAGTTCTCTGGAGGAACTCGTAAAACATGGATTGAGGGCCCTTAGGGACACCCTCCCCAACGAGCTGGATCTCTCCGTTAAGAACGTCTCTATTGGTATAGTCGGCAAGGATCAGGAGTTTGACATTCTGGGAGAAACTGAAACTGCCACATACTTAACTGCGATCGAGAGTGACGAGAAAAGAGGTCAACCAGTGGGACAGGATGTCCAGCAGGACGATCATCCACCCCAGGATCCACCAGCTGACGAGGGGCCCGCAGATCCACGAGTTTCAACTGCCATGGACACTGAATAAAATTTCAACTTTCTCTCATTCATATTATTACACAAATTTTCCAGGTTTAATAAAGTTTTTTTCGCTTACAATTTCGTTGGATTAATTCACTTGTAACCGAAATAATTAAAATCAGGAAAAATAGTCATACCAATGGGATTTCAAAGATTTCAACTTGTTTTATTGATTTCGAATAAATTGAGTACTTCATTGACTAAGAAATGACTATTAACTAACTCTGGGGATTGTCTTCAGCCCTCTGGCTCCTTCTCTCCTTGAGAATATTCGTGAGGAAAAATTCTCCAGCTTTGTAGGAGGATCGAACGAGAGGTCCACTTGCAGTGTACAAAAATCCGAGGTTTCCACCTAGTTCTTCCCAAGACTTGAATTTCTCAGGTGTTACGTACTCTATTACCTTGAGGTGCCTCTTGGTTGGTTGCATGTACTGACCAAGAGTGAGTGCATCTACTCCAGCTTCTCTCAAGTCCCTCATTGTCGTCTCTACCTCCTCGTCGGTCTCTCCAAGCCCCAGCATTATCGATGATTTCGTTATCAATTCTGGATTAACCTTCTTCGCACCTTCCAGGACTCTCAACGACTGTCTAAAAATTACAGGGATACTCAAAATATCAGATAACATACGAAAAAGAGAATCACTGAATTTACCTATAGCGTGCTCGTCTGTCTCTGACGAAAGGCGTCAGTCTCTCCACTGTCTCGATATTGTGGGCAAAAACATCGAGCTTCGATTCAACAATTGTTTTTATACAATCCTCTTTACCACTGAAATCTGGAACGAGCGCTTCGACGAGAATATTGCTCCTGGAATACGAGAAATAATGCATGCCAAATTGTACAAAATATTTGTAGACATAATTGGGAGGTTTTTTATTTTTTATTGGGAGATTTTCTTAAAGCAAAACAATATTTTACCTTTTTTTCAGCTCTCTGATGGTTTCTGCAATGTGATGTGCCCCTCCGTCGGATAAATCTATGGATTATACAGAAAATTAATAAATTGATTAACAAATTCATTTGCTTCAAGTGATAAGGGTGTAATGATTACCATCTCTGTCAACTGATGTTAGAACTACGTAATCAAGTCCCCAAGCGGTCACTGCAGTCGCTGTATTCTCAGGTTCATTGGGATCCAGAGCTGGTGGAGTCCTCGCTGTTTTGATAGAACAAAATCTGCATCCCCTCGTGCACGTGTCTCCCATCAACTGCAATAAAACATTATTAACTCACCAACACTGAGATTAAAGAATTATATTTCCTCTGGATTTCGATATTTTACCATAATAGTTGCTGTGGCGGTTCCATGGGCACCACCTCCCCAGCATTCTCCAATATTTGGACATCTCGCCTCTTCACAGACAGTAGCCAATTTTAATTCTCTCAATTGTGATTTTATCCTCGAATAATTCTCTCCCATGGGGATCTCTGTCTTCAGCCATGGAGGCAATCGAAGTCTCGTGGTCTCTCCCTTTTCAAGTTTCAACTTTCCCTCGTACTTCGTCGCTGATCCTGACAGAAAATCATCGAGCTGGGGTCCATCACTCAACTTCTTCGAGAACGAAATATCATCGGTTGTCTTCGAGTACTGCTTCACCTTCAATTTTATGAATAAGAAATTATTCGGAATTTTCCATGACACGCAATTAATATTCTCTCTGTAAATTCAAAATAACTTACCGAAGACGTCACCCCCAAATTGGCACTAGTCCTGAGATTCTTAGCTGATAAAGATCGAAACATTCTGAAAAAAATTCTCTTCAACTCCTTTCAATGTCAGTCAACACCACAAAAAAAAGAAAATTGCCCAATTATTTCACAGGCCTTTCAGGCATTTTAATCGACACAGCACTCGTGTTTCGTCTTCTCTGTCACTTCGCCACACTAAATCGAAAACATGACGAAATGCTTAATAAAAAGACGAGTGTGCGGGGTTAAGAGGTGAGGGGCAAAGGGGAACTCGATCAGCTGATACTATTGTCTTATCAGCCTTGACAAAAACAAGATCTAGTTTGCCATCAGCTCGTACAGAAGCGGGAGCAATCATCGGATAAATTCGAAGACAAATATTTAGTCTTATGGCGGAGCTCTGAGACATTGCTATTTATTACAACCCTATTTTTTTAATGATGGAGGAAGTTGACAATATTATTATTCACTCACTGCGGCAAATCGGCTGGTAAGGAATTGTCGGCCATAAATATTCCTTGAAGAATTTATCCTATTAAATAATAAATGTACTTAACCTGTCACTGATTGCCCGAGCTGGTGAAATCGGAGTGGGTGTAACTCCTTGTAAAAATCCAGAGAGACACTATTCTTTCGCTTTTATTTATGATCAAATGAGTAATTCATTTGCTAAAGAATTGCAAAGAAAAATGAAAATAAAATATGTATTTATTTTGATAATTTGATGGAGGATTTTTACCGTTTCAGTGATATCGATGATAACATTACGAATTTGGGAGGTTTCACCACTGATTTGGTGGTGGATGCAACTGTGAGATGTCTGGAGGTGATAAGACCTGGGCTGGGGATCTCCAGGATTCTTCCAGCAAATATGGCTGCGAGGTTCAGGGTTGGAGCTTCCCTAGCACAAGCTTGCTCGGTAATTCCGAATAAATATCCGATTATTCCACTCTTCCCACAGCTAATCTAGATATATCTCCTCAGGAGTTGGGTTACAGAGGGGATATAGGCTACCAGACATTCCTCTACAGTTCGGAAACCGATTTACGACGTGTTCTGATGTTCCTGACTGAGAAACTCCCGAAAGAAACCGACAAAACATCAACAGAGCCTACAAGTAAGCTGGAGGTGCTGGAGAAAGCTGTGGCCTCAGTTCTGCAGAAGCAGTTATCAATGCCCTGGTTACCTCACTACTGCCACAGATCCAGGAACGAAGGATACCCTAGCACGCCTTACAGAGCAGTTGACCTCGACCTAGATAATCCACACCTAGAGTACCAGGATTGTGGTGCATATCAGCAGTCAGTGCCTGAGTTGGTGGACCAAGAGTGCCTCATACCCTCCATAGTATCAAGAACTTCGAACCTACTTTACTCGCGACCATCGAACATAATAGAACGACTAGAATGGCTGAAAAAATTACCAGAGCCCAATGAATCCCCCAGCGATGAGAGAATAGCCAGCAGATTCACCTTGAACGAGAGACTTCAGCATCAGACGTCTAAAAGAATAGAGGAGACTGAGGAGATTGAAAGGAGGCCAGAATTAGCCTCGACCCCTTCAGAGGCATCAGCCCCATCCAGAGAGGAGAGAAAAATGCTAGAGGTGGAGGGACTCAAAGCAGACTGCGAGAAGATGAGGATTGAGGTTGAAACAATGGGAAATGATCTGGGAAAATTGGAGATTCAGCTGTCTCAGCTGAGGACAAAGAGGCAGGAGGAGGAGAGGGAGCTAGAGGTCAGGGAGGAGCAGAGGAGAATCAAGGCGAGGACCTATGATCTTCTTGAGGATGGGGATAACAACGTCGTCAAATTGGAGGGCGTCATTGAGGCTGGGAGGAACAAGTTGATTCATCTTGCCACCCAGTGGGAGAAGCACAGGGCTCCTTTGATCAAGCAGTATAGGGATGAGAGGGAGAAACACTCGGCCAAGACCAGTACTAGTCAGAAAAAGCTGGATGAGCTCAGAATTTTGAGAGATAAAGAGAGGGAACTCATGGAGGAGTGTCATGTGAAGGACCAGCAGTATGCCCAGCTCATGGCGGAGGTCCAGAAGCTCCCAAAAGACGTCAACAGGTCTGCCTACACTCAGAGGATACTTGAGATAATTAATAATGTGAGAAAGCAGAGGGATGAGATTGATAAGGTGCTGGGGGACACCCGGGAGATCCAGAAAGAGATCAATACTTTGAGTGGAAGGCTCGAGAGGTCTTTCACTGTTGTTGATGAACTCATATTCAGGGATGCTAAGGGAAATGAGGCCTCCAGAAGGGCGTATAAGCTACTTGCCACATTACATTCTGATTGCAGTGAACTTGTTAAACTTGTGGAGGAAACTGGAACTACTTTGAGGGAGATCAGGGATTTAGAGGAACAGGTGAGTTATTTTGTTGTAATTCATTTGATTTGAATTGGCAGATAAAATGATTTGTACTTTAGATTGATTCGGAATCTACGAAAAATGTTGGAGCTAATTTGGAACGAATAACAGCTGATTTGAAGCAAATGAGACAAGAGACTGCATCACTGACAGCACAAATCGCCAGTAAAAACTCTTGATTTATAAATTATTTGCAGATGACACGCTTTGTTTTGAAGGTTTGTGAAATTATAATACTGCTTCAGTGAATTTAATTTCTAAGTTGAAAATTTTATAGCTTTAAAAATGAGATTACACTCGACCTGAACATTCCCATATCCAGAACTACTGTATAGTGAATTGTAAACGAAAATTCAGGGCTTAAAGATAAGACCAAGATAAATCATTTCGCTCAAGGGGACTTATATCTCCTAAGAAGTTCGAATAATAATCTTATATTAACAAGTGAATTGTGAGTCACTGTACCATGTTGAAAAAGTTTAAGGAATCCTGTTCCTTACATTATCGATGTAAATTGATGAGATTTAATACTGTAAATAAATATTAATATTCGAGAAGAATTTATTAAATTCGTTTTCTTTGAGGAAGAGGTATCTACAGGACGTGCATTAATTGAATTAATTAAATACGATTCTTGGTGGCTTGCTGTTTAACTTCTGGCGGTATGTAATTATCTTCCTTGTCCTCTTCGACCTCCACTGGAGGTCCATATTTCCGGTCCTCGTTTTGAAGTTTCTCTTCTATCTGGAGCTCAATCTTCTCCTCGTTCTCGAAGAATGTCAGCAGTCTCTCTTGCACCTGCAAGTCCTTTTTAATCTCCTGAACATTCTTGAGTCTCTTCTGCTTGTCGATTTCCACTAGCTGTGCCTGCAGAACATCCATTCGGATTTTCTCCCATTCCTTGTAATTCTGCAAAAATAAAATCCATACAATTGCGATAAGAAATGATTTAGTTTTCCTTACGCTTTATTTTTTTAATAGATTAAAAAAAATAACCTTGCACTGTTCTTCGATGTCGTTTTTCTCCCTTTCCTCAACCGCTTTTCTAATCCTCTCCGCCATTTCGTCTTCCATTTTCCCTTTTTTCAGTTCCATTCCTCGAAGGTTCCCCAGGAGTTTCTTCAGCTTCTCCACATCCTCCACAACCTTCTCCCCTTCGACACCCTCCAGCTCCTTCTCTACGAGCCCCAACACCTCCTCATAAACAATTTCCCTGACATTCGCATCAATCCACCTCTGGACGACCTCCGCAGCCAGCCCAAATTTTCCCCAGAGTACATACCCCCTCAGGAGTAAAGACCTCCCCAAGGTGTCGTCCTTGTACTTCCCAAAGAAGACAAAAGTCTTCCCCACAAGATGCTTAGGATCGACCAGATCGAAATGATCATCGAAGTAAGGGTTTCTCAGGTACGTTACCCTGATCTTCACCACTTCCTCCTTGGGGTCGACTGGAGGGGGTGGGGGTGGTGGTGCCCAGCCCTCAGTGTTCTCCAGGTACTTGTGACAGGAGTAAACAGCGAGAGCACTGCAGATCGGATGTTCCTGGTCCTCCTGGAGCATCAGGAGACACGCAACCTTCGCAGCCGAGGCGAAATTCTTCCTCTTAATGAATGTATCCATCAACAAATTATACGAGAAATGATCGGGAAAGATTCCATAGTTCAATCTGTCATTGAGAACATCCAATAACGTCTTCTCGTCCGTATCCAGGAGGTACCTGATGACAGCATGATGAGTGGAGTCCAGTGTACTTGTTGTATGCATGGTGAGCCTCAATTTGTGGAGAATATCCACTACTTCATCCACCCTCTCCTCACTCTGCACTGTATTGGCGAATATGTCGACGTCCACAGGACTGATCGCTCCGGTACTCTGGTACTTCTGGTCGAGCTCCAGGAACATGTCACTGGGATTGATTTTACTGAGAAGGGGCGACTCGAACCTGCGGTTCCAGGCATCGGTGCAGGGGTACGACGACGAGAGAAAAGTTCGAGATGGCCTTTTCCAACGTCTCAGGCGCAGGAGAGGACGAGTGCTCGATCTCACTGAACTCAACATGTTTTTTTTATTTCTCAAGGTGTTCTTCTAATTGTCCAAGCCGTTGGGGGATTATCGTAGCCTCGAAGTGAGCCCCACGTTGATAAATCGTAGGCAGTCCATCAAAGAAAATTAATCAGTGGTTTATGTTATGATTCAAATTCACCTGCAATTATAAATTAGGATAGTGAGAATTAGGTTAAGTCGCATGGCTTTGAGGTGACAATCAGGTTTAGGGGATTGTCCAGGGGTTGTGAGGGTCGAAGATGAAGGGGACACTTACCTGAAAGTTCTTGAGGAATTGGTAGAAAAGATCGAGGTGATTTTGTTGGAAAATAATTCAATTTGGTGGGTGAGAACTTGAGAATCTCCGGTGGTTCTTTCGTATTCCTGCTGCACCGATACTGTAGAATTCTAGATTTTTTAAAGGTTATTGTTTTGTTTTTGGAGCAGCTGGAGTGGACTGGAGTGTTTGAACAATAGAATAGGGGGTTTTAATTGTTGAATTTGTCAGGATCTGTTTTAAACGACGGTGGAAGTTCTTGAGATGAGTTTGAAAGCTGTTGACATGAGGAAGTGCTCCAGGAAGCAAAAGAGAGCACAGCATCGACTGGCAAGAGATATGAAGATCAATTGTCGTGATGATCCAACTCAGAATTTAGTAATTTGCAATGCAGGATTGGTGACAGGATTCACACGTGAGAGCCTGGAAAATATTCTTCAGGAGTTCAAGGAGGCAGCAGGGAATTATGAGATTTTAATGCCTCCTGGGAAGTCTTATAGTTTTGTTAAATTTTCAAGCCCTGAAATAGCCTCGAGGGTTTATGATGGAGTCAATGGAAATTTCGTTGAAGGGCAGGGGCCTCCGTTGTATTTAACGTTCTCGGAAACACTGCCACACTTGGAAGTCAGCCCGATATCTTCAGAACTCCCTCCAGGTCTCAGGGTTATCGAGGACTTCATAACACCTGAGCAGGAAACTCTCCTACTGGAAAAAGTTGACTGGAGCGAGGAAGACTCGTCGTCAGAGCTGAAACACAGAAAAGTCAAGCATTTTGGATTTGAGTTTCGTTACGATACGAATAGAGTGGACCCGGACGATCCAATAAGTCCAATTCCCGAGGAATTCACATTCTTGCAGAAGCTCTTTGGGAATCACCACTGCGGCCAGTTCATTTACGATCAATTGACGATAAACCGGTACTTACCAGGACAAGGAATTCCACCTCACATCGATACACACAGTGTCTTCGAGGACCCCATTCTGAGTCTTTCACTAGGTTCAGCTTGTGTAATGGATTTCAGAAAAAAGGAGAAGAAAATAGGTATCCTCCTTCCACCCAGGTCGTTATTAGTAATGTCTGGTGAGTCTAGGTACACCTGGAGCCACGGGATCTGTCCTCGGCATAGTGACATCGTGTCCGAGGACAATGGCATGACGACAAGACCCAGAGGCATTAGAACATCATTTACTTTTAGAAAAGTGAGGAGGGGAGATTGTCCCTGTTATTTTGACGACTACTGTGATACTGTCCACAAGCACAGGAAGGATATCGATAATTCTGTAGCTCCAGGACTGGAATTGTCGTACGTCCATGAGGTTTACGAAGAAATTTCGAGTCACTTCGATGAAACGAGGCACAAACAGTGGCCCAATGTCTCTAAATTCCTCGACAGTATCGAGCCAGGGAGTATTTTACTCGATGTCGGCTGTGGAAATGGAAAATATTTGAATGATACTTCTGGAATTTTTAAAGTAGGCTGTGATAGGAGTTCAGGATTAACTAGGATCTGCAGAAAACGATCCTTTGAAGTTTTCCTGTCTGACTGCCTCCAATTACCATTTAAATCGAAATCCCTTGATGCTGTAATAAGTATTGCAGTGATTCACCACCTCTCGACGCCGGAAAGACGAAGATCTGCATTTTTGGAGATTCTCAGGGTTCTCAGGCCAGGGGGAAGGTGTTTGATCTACGTCTGGGCTAAGGACCAGCACTGGAATTCTAAAGATTCGACTTATCTGAGGTTTAATCCCAAGAAAAATGAGGAGTTTGGGGGCAGAGAGATGCAGAGACTTTTTCAAGGGCTTGCCCTTCCTGTTCATGAGAATAGAACGAATTTTAGTCACAGCGATGTCCTCGTACCTTGGAAGAGAAAGGGAGGCGGTGAATTTCTGAGATATTATCATGTCTTCGAGGAGGAAGAGTTTGTAGAACTCTGTAAAGGCCTTTGTGAATCAGTAATCGAGAGGATTTATTATGATCAAGGCAATTGGTGCACAATTTTGAAAAAAATGTAGTTTTTTAAATTGAATTTGTTAAATAGAATGGAAGGAAATAAAAGTCCACTCAACTCATCTTCACATTTGATTTCTCTTTAATTCGTAAAACAAATGCCTTTTTTTCGAAAAGTTTATTTAATCCCTAAGAGATATACAAAACAAACATTTCCTTGCAACTATTATAATTCCCTAAAATAACGCAGGAAATTTGTCATGAGTTTTCATTTTTTTTTTTTTTTTCATTTATGTCTTCATTCGTGTAATTCATTATTTCAAATATTAAACGTCAGTTTTAGTGAACACCACATGTCCATTTTGCATTATTAAAATTGAATCACTCATTACTTAAATTCCATCGAGTGGATGCCCGCGGTACAAATGAAACTCTCACACGTGTCCGAATCCTCATTCTCTTCAATAATTTTCTTTTTCATTTCGATATTCAGCTATGCCCTAAAATTATGCACATCAGCAAATCAGTATTAAAATATTACAATTTCATATTTTACAGTTGATTTAATCCCATTTCTCAATTTGTTTTTATCTCTTTCACTAGCTCTCATCTGAGTGAATAAAGAGAAAGGGGGAAAAAAATGAAGAGGAAATATCCTCTCCTTAATTCTCTGAGAGCCCTGGGGAAATCATCACTTATCACTCATGACTTCAGAGGAATTGGGGAAAATAAATGAATAGTGTTAAAATAAGAGGGAAGAGGTAAAGAGGAAAAAGAGAAGAATCGATGAGTGATTTAGCAGTGTTGGGACACTTCCAAATAATCCTCACATGGTTTTATTTTTCCCATCAGCTGCCTGTCGAGTCGAGATTGCAATCGTGAACTGCAGCAGATGTCAATTGCACCTCTTCCACAAGAATAAAATTTCCATTATTTTTGTTGTTCAAATATTTAAGGTTTTCTGACGGTTTTATTCAAACTTGGAAGAGATCTGTACATAACTAGAAGTCTAGGAATGTCAACATTACAAGAAACGACAATAATTTATTACAATACAGCTGTACACCCAGGCAAAATGACTCTCGGCAGCATTGTTGTATAATTTTCTTTTTTTTTATTTAAGAATTTGTTACTCATGTTTAAATTAACTCATTACTTATCAACTTCATCGCACTTCTTCCATGTTGAATTCATCTAAATAACCTCAGATTGCTGTTGTTTTAACTGTAGTTGTACTCTTTATTGTAATTGTGAGAACGGAGGATGAACAATGACAAGATGGAAACGCTCATTTATTTTTATTGGTTTGAAAATGACTTTTATCTCTTATTTTTCTCATTGAAAAGTAAATACACTTGTACACTTGCAGAAACACTCATTCTCCTGATTAAAGGATTTCCAAGGAGTTTTCGACACTCGTGCGAAATAAAAGCGATTGTTTCAATGATTAAGTAATACGAGTCAACAACTCACGCTAAATTCAATGTTTATTACTCCAACTTCAGAAAATTTTCTAAAAAAAAATTCATCAACTATTATTTTAAACGTTCCATCAAAGGAAAGTAAGCGCAATTTAACAACTAAACATTTTTTTCCTCCATCAATTGAAAGGTTGAAAAATTTATTTAATCGAAGAACGCACACACCTCTCAGTTCCCACGCATTTTCGCAACGTGTAAGACGGAAAAAAAATTATTTAAAAAAAAAGTAAATGATACTAAATCTTTCGGAAAGATTAATCTGAAAAGATTTGTCCCTAGAAAATAGTTATTTTCTTTGTTTTCATTGAAATTTGAGAAAAGAGAACGACGACCCTTGGACATTTCATTATTATTTTTGTGGTTGGGCTCATTGTTTTAATTATTTTCTCCTAAGTCTCTCGGACGTTCACAAAGTGTCATCCCTGTCAAATTGGTTTATTCATCTCGTTTGAGTTTTTTCCATTTGCCTATTCAATTACTCTTTCCATGGTGATTTTTTGTTGCTTTCAATCTTACTATCAATTATGTTAAAATACAAATTTCACTCATACAATTAAACCTCTCTCATTCACAATTGTTTTGTTTTTATTTTTTTTACCTCTTTTACAACATAATAGCTTCACTCACTCTCGCATACAATGCTTCTGTTTTGTTATTTTTTATTATTATTACTTTTTTTTTTCGTTTTGTATTTTCCTTTCAACTCTTTAAAATAATTACTATTAAACGCTGAGATGGGGGAGGGGAGAGGGAGGGTGAGGAAGAGTAATGGGGGAAAAAATTGGGAGAATGAGAATTACGTGAAATAATGACGGAAAAAAAAACAAAATTCGGAACTCGAGAGCATGAGGAACAAGGAACAATAATTATTTTTTGGTTAGTCAATAGGTGTTTTGCCTAAGCCAAGTCGTAAGTACCCTCACTCTAAGGTAAATGGTATGTACAGTAGGTGAGTCTTCGCATTATTTACTCCAATAATGATCGAAAAAGTTCGCTAATTAAACTTAAAAATGACAAAGACGAAGAAAGTTGAAAAATCGAGGGAAAAATGGCGGGGAGAAAATAATCACGAGATAGGGGTAATGCATTCTCATACGTCTTCACACTATTTTTGTAGTATATTTCCGCTCACACTTTCATTCGCCACTCAAAAAAATTCCATGAATTAATTTTTAATATTCTTGTTTCTTTCTTGTTGGTTTCATTGCTTTCGGTTTTCGTTTTTCAATCTATCTCTCGATTTTTTCTTTTCGTTTTTTTTCTTTTCAATCTTTCATTTTTTTTTTATTCTTTTTTTTCATTAGACGTGCTCCCGCTATTCATCATCCTCGTCGGCATCATCTTCTTCGACTTCTTCCTCACTCTCGTTCTTAATCGCGTTTGCAGGCGCTCCCACTCCCGGACCGTCCTTCATTTTCTTTTTGTACGCAGTCATTTCCTTTAATGAAAAGTTTCAGGTTCCACTATTAACGGCCTAGCACATTTGTGTGACACGTTCGAGTTGTTCTTAATTTGTTTTTCATCTTTTATTTGTGATTTCGTAATGCATTTTCATTTGAGATACGATGGAGTCAAGTAATGATTGTAACGAAGAAAAAGATGAAAGAAGGCAATGAAAAATTCATTATTCACTTCATCAAAGAAAAAGAAAAGAGAGAGATTTGTATCAATTGTCATTTTATTCGAAGCTAAAAAAAATTCTCATCACTCATTACACCCATTTTTATTGCTCATCTTCCACATTTTTCTCCGTTGGATTTTTGTCCTTTTTTTTTTCACTTTGAGATTATTATTAATTAATATTAATTAATTATAATTAATCGTTATCATTAATCTTTAAACTTTTTTTTTGCATTTTTCATTTTAATCTTTAATTGTAATTATATATCATGTCTGAAAGGATTCTCCCCCGAGAGAATAGCGGCTACTGCTCAGTGACTTATTAATCGAAATTCTGATCATAAAATTTCTCCCGGTCCTTCCGCCATTTTCTTCTTGTATGCAGTCGATTCCTTTAAAAAAGTTATATGTTCCTCGATTAAAAAAGCGTCGCTTCAAGCGATTCACTTTTTGTGATAAAATGTGTGTTATTCAATTTTTTTTCTCATCATCTTTCAATTTTCAAGTAAAGAAGTTCATTGATTCTAATGTATACTCTACATCGAGTTTAATTGCTCTGCTTTTATTGATTTGGGTTAGATTCAGGAAAAGAAATTTTAAGAAGAGAAAGACGAATGAGAGATTCCACCAACAATTCAATGATTATCAACAATAAAAATTCATCACCATATAACAAACATCACTGAATATCAGTGGAATTTTCATTCGTTAATTTGCGAAAATTAATTCGACTAAGAAGCGACAGTTGATCGGCTGCACTGATGCCAAAGAAATGCTCTAATGAAGCTCATATAGAAGCACAAAGTACCTGACAGCATCTATTTTTCCATGTTTCATCAACATCTCAAAATATTCCTGAATGCTTTAATCACTCTTGTGTCATTACAAAAAATTTATCGAAATCTGCATATTTTTCAGTTGAAACATTAGCACATGACTTCAATTAGGTATTCAAATAAAAGAAAAGAGAATGCTCATGTGAGCCAACGAAAAAGAAGTTGAAATAATGGTGAATACGTACCCTTTCATATCGAGCTTTGTCTTTCTCTGCCATAGCCTCGTATTTGGATTTGGTTTCTGGATCAGCGTCAGACCACTTCTTGCCCAATTCCTTAGCAATATCACCTACACCGTATTCTGGATTAAGCATTTTAACCTTGCCACGCTCATCATTGCAGAACCAGAAGAAGGCAGACCTTGAGTTGATCATCAAATTAAATAGTCATTAAATGCACTTAAAAAACCACTCTAAAATATGGAAAGTGTTGAGCTACTGAATTAACCAAGTGAATGTCGTTGTTATCACTTACAATGATCTTTTTGGTGCATTGGGATCCTTGATGTGCTTGCGTTTCTTTCCCCTGCCTTTAACATTCTCACCCTTGGGTGGTGTGTAATTCTGCATTTCTGCGTCGTACCTCTTCTTATCTTTTTCAGCCATCTCGTGGAAACGTTTTTTCTCCTTATCAGACATGGTCTGAAACACAATAAAACCCAAAAACTATTACATCAGGGCTCACTGCACCTCTCCAACTAATAAACCTCTCTAAAAAAATTCATCAGCTATTGTTTTAAACGTTCCATCAAAGCAAAGTAAGCGCCAATAAAAAAATACTCCAATTTCAAAAATAGAAACATCCCATTAATTCTCCAACTAAATTGTTTTGACTGTTCAACATTTTCGAAAGTATCTCCCAAACTAAAGCCACCAGTGATTTTTTTTTAATGATCTTCTCTACAGCTCTCAATTCCCTCTGCAAAAAAGCTTCTAACAACAATTCAATTATCTCCCTTAATTGCGGAGGTATTTCCAAAAATTCAGAAAGATCTGAATGAACTTCAGTTAACTTGAGAATTCCCTTTGCAATTCGAACGACTAATTAAAAAATCAATACCCAACTGGAAAAACAAGTGCATTGAAATTCTCTGTCACCTTGCCCTGGAATTTGCATTGAACCCCTTGAATATTTTTCGTCTCTTTTATTTTTGATAATTTTTTTTTCAAGGGGCATAGGAAGTGGGGGGGGGGGTGGGTAACGCCGGTGGAAAATCAAGATGGAGAGGATTGGTAATGGCTGGTGTGTAGTGGTGGGATAGAGGGGAACCGAGAGGAAATATAGGGGGTAAAAGGGAGAAAGAGGGGGGGTGTGGGGGGTGGTCGAAGCGAGGGGCGAAAAGGGGGTGAAAAGGGGGTGATGGGAGAGGGGTGGGTAGACTCGTAGGGTTGGTCGATAGATAGAAGCAACGGCTGAGGCGTTTTCTACCCTCCGAGGGGGAAAAAGAGAAACGAAATATAACCCAGTTCTTTTTTTCCCCTCTCTCTCTCTTTTTCTAGTGGAAATTATTATTTTTTTATTTCACTCTAATGTCAACTTCTCCCCCTCAAAAACACGTTCAAAGAATGTCGACTGTTTGTAGGCGTTCGTTCGGTGGGAGAACAGGTGAATTTTTAGAACAGAGAATAACCTGAGTTGAGGGTAAAAGAGAAAAAGATAAAAATAAAGAAACACCTTATGAATTTCAATACCAACCCTAATTTATGGTATATAGATATTCTACGAGGGAAATTTATGAGAATTCAATCTACCGATTAAAAAGTAATCATCGATTTTTCCGTTAGTCAAAAATGATGGGAGGTAAAAAATTTGATTCATAAAGTACCGATAAACAATTTATTTTCACGGTGGGAAGATTTACGACGTCAAAAAAAAATGTGTATATATTTTTCTCCACGGTAGTGAAGTACAGGAGAGACAGCATCAGGTGGGGTAGGAAGGCCTCTCCCCACCAATTAAGGTCGCCGTAAATATTACGAATAAATTTTCCATGGGATTTAGTGCGATGAAATTGCAAGCCAGACGAGCGTCATACCCGGGTATTAAGTACCACCCCAATTTTTCTCGTTTCTCATTAACATTTTTTTTCCTTCCATCATTGCATTTAAAATCACGAGTGAGGAAATTAATGTCAGACGAATGTTGAGTACTTGATATTTAGATAAATTGATGAACAATTGATGAATAATTGATAAATTGATAAGTACCTTCCACCTCATGGCGCACTTCCTGGAGAACTCCTGGAAGACAATGTTCTCCTCTGGATGCTTCTTCTTGTGCTCCTGGCGGCACGTCTGTACGAAGAAGGCGTAAGCGGTCATTCGCCCCCTTGGTTTCGTGTCCGCTGCCTTTCCCCTCGGCATTTTGTTAACCTGAGCGTTATTCTGCTGAAGATTATTCTGCTGTGGTAGCTGTTGTATCTGATGCTGAATGAGAGAAAATCACGCCAAACCATTAAGAATGAAAATAAAACAATTTAAAACGGCAATAAGCTGAAGAATAGTGTCTTTTTACGGTTTCGAGTCGTTCAAGTTCAGGGATTTATCCGGCAAATTCAATTGTCAAAGTTAAAATTAGTGATACGCCTCCTCTCCGACATCGTTCTCATTCTCTCGTTAATTATTTAATCGAAATCCAATTGATTCATCAAGTTCAAGAGTCTGAGATTCAATTCTCCACTATGTCATTCTGAAGATTATTATTATTCTGGGGGTGGGAATTCCTGGGGATTCTCATAATTTCAATGATTCATTGATGTTCTCAAAAAGTTCGAGGATTGACGCGCAGGAATGGACGACCTTGACTCTAGCTTCTGTCGGACAATAAAAATAACTTATATTTTTCCCAGTCCTATCCCACACCTAAAATATCTCGATAATAGAATTACCTATTTCTCCATTTTTGTCGGTTGAATATATATATTTTTTTTTCACTCCTGGTTTACGGAGGGATTATTCGGTGTCAATGAACCGGTGCATCCCCACCGAGTAATTTCTCTTAACGAGTCGCTATAGGTTCGAGGATACTGATCAGGTTTATTCCTTCCATGAACAAAGTGCTATTAAATTTTTATTCGACAGTAAAACAGTGAATGGAAACTCGGGGAATTCATTCATTCATTCAAATAAATTTTTCCAAGTTTTTTGAATAATCTGGAGGTGGTCATTTATTTTCGAAAAAATTACCCTACCATTTTAGACCTCATTCCTCAGCAGATATAGATTAACAAATCACTAATTAACAAGAAACTCGATTTAACTTGAGCCCCTCCTGGGATCACCTCCCAACGAATATCTCGGAACTATTCAGCAAAATTGCGTCATTTTCCTCCGGTTCGAGGACATAAACCGTTTTATCTCCCAGGATCGCATTTGTGTAATAAAAAACATTTCATCAACCGAACATTTTTTGGAAACCCGGGAATTTTCCAGGGGATGTTTTTCTGGGTTTCAATCGAATTTGCAGAAGGGTCTTGATAAAATTTCGTCAAGGGTACAACCAGAGAGGGGGGAAAAGGAGAAAAGGGGGTAATGGGGTGAAGAGGAAAATGGGGTGGGAAGGAGGAGAGGAGGAAGGGGTTGTACTAGCTTTTTTACTGAGTGATGTGCGTCTTTTGGGGTTTAATTAAATTTTGGCTGAAAAAGTGATTTTGGAAAATTGAAGTATAAGTCTGGATCAGAAGGGTGATTTTTGCTTGTAATTGAGAATGGGGTAAATGTAAAATATAATGAAAGAATAGTAAAATAATTGGTGGGGGGAGAGAATGAGAGAGAGGTAGGAAAAGAGAGAGCGCAATGGCACGACCCGGCTTTAACCAGAATCAATAGCGGCCGCACACGCCGATGGCGTTGTTGAAGGGAGACAGCATTATGGCAGAATAAAGTGAGACAGAAAGAGGCGAAGTAACGGACTGGAACGTCCAGGAAGAAAGTGCAAAAATACTTATGAATTTTTCCCCGTAAAGCAATAAAATGAGAGAGAGAAAAAAAAAATTAATAATACAGCAAAAAAGGAAAAAAATCGAAGAATAATATTTTTCTTTCGAGTGGTGTACCGATTCTAACTTCTTTGGGTATTATTTCATCGTGTTTACTCTTATTATCAATTTTCAGCGTGGAAATTTGCTTCAGTTCGTGGCAACACGTGGAAACAAAATAAACCGACGTATCAAATGCCTGAGGAGAAAATTTGAAAACAAAGTGTTGATGATGATTTAATTTTGTATGGGATTCCACCGCTGGAGTGGAATGATAATTAAATAACGTTTTGGTTTGGTGGGTGAAAAATTGAATTGAAGGAAAAAAAGAGAATATGGTGAGTTCGCGCGGGACAGCTCGGAGGGAGAGGGAAATAAAAAAGAAATAATAAAAAAAAAAGAGAGAAGCGTGGCTGAATCGAGTGAGAGAATAACCGGTATCTGGGGCCCTGTACACCTTGCTTGTGAGGCCCGCAAGAGGGAAACACACGGGCCCACGAGGAACGGGGGAACAGCCTCGAGGTCTTAAAATTTTGGAAATATTCGTCACTGGTCCATCAATAAATTCCTCCCAAAGCGACAAGATCGGATATCGAATTGATAATTCAGTGAGAGTTTATGGCATTTTATGGAAATTGATAGGAAGCTTTGTCCCTGGACGGAAGAAATCCAAGAAAATTAATTTTCCCCCGATTACAACATAACGTCGTCATTTCTCAATAGGCAATTTGGCCCAAATGAAAAACATACCGCTCCAATTTGATTAGAAGTTTGTGTAGCTAAATGTTGTTGTCCCTGCATCTGATGTATATTATTCTGTCCAGCATCCATAACATTGCTAGCATACCACCATTGTACACCAGGTGGTGGATTTTGTTGTTGCTGTGGTGCACTACCATTGCCATTACCCCCAGGTGGACCCCCCTGCTGTCCAATTCTGTAATCGTAACCACCTCTCATACATGTACCAACAGGACTCGACGTTGACACTGGACTCGATTGTGCACCAGTTGTCGCTGGATTTTGAAAGCTCGATGCCATCTTGTACGAGAACAATTGCTGGGTCGCTGCTGCTGTACTCCTCACAATATCCTGATGATGCTGTGACAATTGTTGCTGTGCCTGTTGCTGTGCAACAGCAGCTGCCTGCTGATTCATCAAGTGTTGATGTAAATTTTGCTGCTGCTGCTGTTGTTGTTGCTGTTGTTGCTGCTGCTGTGCCTGTTGCTGTTGTGCAGCAGCAACAGCCGCTTGTTGTTGTTGCATTTGCTGCTGTGCCTGCTGCTGTGCCTGTTGATTTTGCTGATTGGCCTGCTGCTGTTGATCAGGATTCATACCAGGCCACCATGCATTACCACCAGAACCATCCTCACGATTCCCAGGGCTCGGCGTACCCCAGCCACCAGCGGCTGCGGCGACGCGGTGGTGTTCCGACATGTCACGCGCGTCTCCGCCGTACAATCACCCTGGCACAGGGTTATACCCCCTCCCCCCCCACCGCCACCCACTGAATAATCAACCCCCCTCAGTACAACTATTTTTTTAAACACTCACGTTTACCTCACTCTCATTAATATCCCTTCAATTGACTCTCTCCAGGATTTATAGTCATTAATAACACTCTCACTCGAATTTCTCACTCTATATATTGCGGTTTTTTTTTTTAATTATTATCGATATATACAAAAATAGAGGGGGTGGATTTGGATGATTTGGGAGGCAGACTGTCTCCGGATTTTTTTTGTTTTTTGTCGTTCCACTGGTTGTTGTTGTTGTTTTTTTTATGTTCCAGAGTTTTTGGAGTTTTTTTTTTTTTTTGCAAACTCCAGAGGGGGGAAAAGGAAAGAAAAATGGCCACAACTCACCGATGGCTTAAGGCTACCTCTGGCCACACCACTGGACACATCCACACGCGCGCACCCTCACGGGTGTCTTTCTCACTCAATATGCACGCCCGATTCTCTATTCCTCAGCGGAATATACCGGACTCGGTGTAAACCGCGTCTCGGTAATTTTTTCGACTTTTTAAAATAATATCCAGTGATGAGGATATTCGAATTGAGAGCGGTTTACCGAGGGTCATTCAAGATGAGGGTGAATTATTTTTGTGCGTTGCCACGGGATTATGTGGATTTACTAGATTCTTATATTTTCTCTTTTCTCTCTCTCGTGTAAAAATATAACGGAGCACTGATATTTATTTTTTTTTCTCTCTTTTTTTAAAATCTTCTTTTTCGGAGCACCTCACAATATTTTTCACCGGTTTAATTCCCTCTCGCTATTGGCGAGATATTATTCGCGGGGTGGGGAATGAGGGAGAGAGGCCGCGAGGTAGGGGGAGGTGGACAGGGGGGGAGGGGAAGAGTCCCTCGGTACTTTTGGAATGTTTTATTCCTCTTTTCCTCTTCCAGCTTGGATTTTAATTAATTTATCGGGCCTCTATTTGGCTTGTCCCTCGTTGATTAATCCGTGGTGTTAAAATCACTATTTTTCACAAGCACCAGTAGTTAATGGAAAATAAAATCAACTAAAAAGGGGAAAAAAAATGTATCCCCGGTATTTTTGTGTATTCTCGTTAAACTTTGGAGTTGTACGGTGGATATACGTTGTGAAATAATTTGACGATCGAGTACTGGGGCTGCGGTGTTACCGGGAGTAGTTGCTCCTCTTCCTCTTGGTTACTTTTGTTGTCTCTTTTTAATATTGATATAGCAAAAATATATTAAAAAGGAAGGAAAGACACACGGTAGGTACGTTACACTTTGGGATGCGGTCTACTCGACGCTACGCTCAACGGCTGCTCCAAACGCTCGGCTACGTTCGGTGCTAAAGCGGGTGGTGGTGCACGGGGAGGGGGTGGCTCGCCCCTTCTTTTCTTTCTCACTCTCTTTCACCTTCCTGCCTTCACTCTCCCCTCACCCTTGCCCGCCATTCGCCCCTACCCCACTTACCACCCCACCACCACACCAATAACTATTCACCATTTACCATTTTATCCCCACCATTTCTCACTTTTGCGCGAGCACCCAGAGATCTACTCTTATTTCTCTATTTCCATATTTTCATATTCCTATATTTTCAGTTTTTCCTATTTTAATATTTTCAAATTTTTATATTTTCATATTTCTGGGTTTCAGAAATTTCTTCGAATTTTTAACGTTTTTTTCTTTTATAAAAAATTGGATCATTCTTCTGGAAAGTGGTTAGTACGGAGAATTTTCCCAGGTTTTTTTTTTCAGGAAATTCGGAAAAATACTAGAAGAGATGGAGGAATTTTGGGGATTTTTTGGAAATGCCGCGGATTTGGTTTTACCGGTGGGAAATGAGGGAAAAAGCCCGGGAACGACGCCGAGTTGGTGATGATGGTGGGGAGATTTTGTATTTTTTGCTGCGCGCGCAGAAAATTTAGTTGGGCTCTTCCGTCTGAGTTGGTTGGGACAGGGGTGGGGAGAGGACCAATGAGCAATGGGTCGAGTGTTGGGTAGGATTTTGGTGTGAGTTAGAGTGGGGAAAAGTGAGGGAAAAGAGGGGTATGGAAGTGGGGTGCGGTGTTGCCGGGTTGATGTTTCACCCGGTTGTTCACAAAGGACGGTTCGTTTCGTTGGACCAATGGTGGTTGTCGAAGATTGGGAGGGGGTATGGCGGGCTTGTGATGATGGAAAAACGTGGCAACACCGGGGTGGGAGAGACCTGGGGGAGACGAGGGAGACGAGGGAGAGCGTTTCTTCCGCCCCGGCGTTTTCGAGAGACGCCGATTGCCGAGAGAGACCGATCCAGATGAGAGAGATGCTCAATGAGATTTATTGTTAAGGGTGGGGAGAGGAGGGAGAAGGGTTCTCTCTACCCTTGAAACTACCGAGGTCAACTTTTAGGCAGGGATTTTACGGCGAGGGAAGAAGATGGATAGATTTTTTTTTTCCCTCTTTCGGTGATTTCTTTGGATTTCGGAACGGATTTTTCGGAGGCTCGAACCCACTTTTTTCACCGGTCCGGGCACTTCCTTGTTCAAGGGATTATTCCATACCACTGCCTTACCGACTGGGAGATTATATTGTTTACGCGGGTTTTCGCGGATCTTTCGAGCGTTCGACATTGACTCATTGCAATCTCCAATTTGTTCAATTTTTTTTCTCCACGAGGGGAAAAGGAGATCCTGAGGAAATTGAGTCGAGATTCCTTGGGATTTTTCGTACGCATTAATTACGTCGGGCGACCGGAGCCCGTGCCCTGCAATGGATTAATTAAACATCCGGTTTAATTAAAATTCAAATTTTGTCGGAGGAAAAAATATTAATGAGAAACGCGGAGGTATTGATCGTTCGCCATGGGTGGATTAAAAATTAAAGAACTTGGGACTTGGGAGGTGTTTTTTTCGATGGGTGAATGCAGGTAAATCGTAGATTAGTTGGAAAAATTTCGACGAAAAATGGATTTCGTGGGAATGGGAAGAGGGGCGGAGGAGGGGGAGGGGTTAGGAGGAGGGATAGAAAAAAAGGAGAAAAATCGAGTGAGAAATACCGAGTCGAAGGTTTCATAGAATGCCAGGGCTCTCTATCTCACTCTCGATACTCAGGGGAGAGGGTGGGCGGGAGGAGGAGGGAGGGTGATAGGGAGGGCCGAGGGGTTGGGAGGGGGAGGGTGAGGTTCGAGGTAACGCGGCGAATCGGAGAGTGAGAGGAGAAGAGAACCGGGTCCGGGTCAATAAGACGCGAGTGAGGCAGAGGCAAAGCGCGCATTCCCAGGGCCGACGAGTGAGAACACCAATTTAGGGGGGAGGAAAAACAACAATATTCATTAAAAAATACCAATTCGTTCGACGAAAGTATAAAAAAAAATGTACAATTATACAATTATTATTTTTTTAACGAAAAAAAAATTCCCACTTCTTTCAGAAAATCTTCGATTTTTAGAAATGATTTTTTCTTACTCAGAAATTTGCGGAAAATTATCCGCGGATAATTGTAGCAATGGTTTTTAAATTGTAAGTTGGACAAGTTTATTATTATTGTATGATGAAGAATTGGAGGGGAGATGAGAAAATTGATGGATTTCCTCTGTCGAGTGGAAAATTGAGATAAGTTTCTGGGTGCAAATGGTAGAGAATTTAATTTCATTCAAAATTGCGAAATGATTAGTGATTTTTTTAATAGAGATAAGTCGAGGTCAAAGATCGATAAAAAAAAAGCGGGAGTGAGAGAAAAAATATGTATAAAAATGAAATTGCAAAATAAATTGTGGCTGCTAAAACTTTCACAAAATTCATGAAAAAAAAAATCCTAATTGCATTGTCCTTTTTTCTCTGTACAAAGAAAAAGGGTAGAAAAGATTTGAAAAAATCCGAGAGGCACGTCGTCGGGGGAGGGAGGTGAGAGATGAGTGGGGGAAAAATGGAGAGGAGAAAAATTTGGAAAAATTGCTGGCGTGGGGAGAGAGAGAGAGAAAAACACGAGGGGGTGGGAGGACGAGGTGTTTTAAATGAGTGGGGGGGTGAGGGTTTGAGGGGTTTGAGGGGTTTGAGGTTTTAGCCGTTGCCAAGAGACGCTGGGCCCGATCTCATACGAGTCTCTACGACGGCAACCGATCGTACTCGATCCTTGGCGAATGAGGTTCGGCCCGAGAAAACGAGAGGATGTTCGCCAAACACAACCACCGACCTTTCCATACCCTCCCCTCCTTCGTCCTACCACGTCACCCCTTTCCTGTTTTTTTACCCATTTTTTTTTTGCACCATGTGGCGTAACAGTCGGTTGAAAATTGTCCCATAATAACGGATAAATCTCTTGTCGGAAAAGAACTTGAACATTCTCATTAAAATTAAAATTCTTCCAAATGAGCTGGCAAATAAAAAATTTCACGATCGCAATTTTTTCGCAAATGTAAAAATTTCCCCCGACTCGTTCTATTATCATTATTATTGCGTAATTATTATTGCTTTGGAAAAGTCGAATGCTCATTTTGAAATTTGAGAAAAGGTCGCTTGAAAATAAAGGGGGGGTACCATACGGCGTGGAATAATGTAATTTATAACCCCGGGGTGGGCTAAAGAAAAGGGTCGTTGCCACGCTGCAATTTATGTCTGCTGTGTGCAGCCGGCTTTTGCGCGATATTGAGTTTGTACCACCCTCCAGTGCCCCCCTATCCCCCCTTATCTCGCATCCCCCCATCTCTAGCTCCAACACCCCTATTTTCCGACGTGAATTTTGTCGATTTGAAAAGTGAAGATTAAGGAAATGAATCAAATTGACGGATACCCCCCCTTCCATCCCCCCAAGTCGCCCAGAAAGTAATGGCTTTTTAAAATCGACTTTTGCCAATTTAAATGATGAAAATCGGTGAACATCAATTTGCCTGAAAATTTGGAATTTAATGTTTGAGGAGAACGATTTTTAGCGGTAAAAGAGAGAATTTGGAGACTTGACCTCGTGATTCGATGGCCTCCAGGGGGAGACATAGATAAGGGGGTTGTACGCCGTTGCC